CGGAGCTCTGGGCCCCTGCGCTGCGGAGCATTCTGTGACTCGTAGTTTTCGAGGACCACGGCGTCTGGCTCGGGAGTGGAACTCGGGAGTTCTCTGATGTCATCGTCTAGAGCGCCGAGCCACAGGGGTCGTTCGTTTGCAGATAATTTGTTTGCAAACTATCGCATAATCGGTCCGGGAAGCATAAATCCATAGGCTGCTACGTGACCTGGAGAAAAATGCTTTACAGCTCTGTGCGCCAGTTCTTCGCTCCTAACCATTTCTCTCTCCCTGGAGCTGTAGCTCCACCTCCTACTTAATAGGACAGAAGGCTAAGAGAAACTTAAAGGATTAGTTAAGATTCTTTTAGGAAGGATGGCGCATAAATATGCATTCTCGTAAGGATTCTTAAGTATTTAACATACCTGTTGAACACCTACTGTATGCCAAGTCCCATGATAGACACTAGGCATACATCTGGGAAGAAGACAGACGGTCCTGCCTTCATGGAGCCTGCAACCTCTAAGGGGATCTAGTCTTTAAGCAAGAAAATCACAGATTTCAGTGCAATGGAGAAACAGAGCAAATTAAAGAGATGGTGGGGGAGGAGGGGCTCTTTAGAGAGAGTGGTCAGGGAAGGCTCTCTGAGGAACTGATATTTGAGCTGAAATCTGAAAAATGAGAATTATTCAGATATTTAAAGAGCTGGGAAAGAATGATATGCCATACTTTTCACAATGCATGGCATGCACTAGGCTCTTGATAAATATTTGTTTGTGTCCTTCCTTTCCTTCCCCTGCATAGCCTTGGGTCACATCCTTCCCCCTTTGAAATCTGTATCAACACCTTTCAGAACATCCTTCCCATGTGACGATGTACAGGAGACAAATCGATGTCGGGAGGTAGGACAAGCTGTACAGCTGCTAGGACAAAACACAAGGTGAATGCCAATGAGCCTGATGACATGGTGGGAACCCTGACCGCTTAACCCCTTTTTTGTGAACCAGGTTAAAAGTCTGTGATCTCAGCCTGGCCTCCTGACTGGATTCTGTTTATGAGGCACTAAATCAGATTGGGAGTTTGTCTCTGTTAGGATCCTAAAGGAAGCTTAGTCTTTATCTTACCCGAATCAGTGGTGAAGTGAAAGACTTAGACTTGTCTGTGGAGATTTACCTGTGTGACCTTAGGCATCGTGTGACACTGTGATGTTCTGGCCCTCAGTGATCTCAACTGCTCACCTTACAGAATGTTCTCGGAAGCCCATAAGTTGATGGAGGTGAAAACACCTTGCAAACTTCATAGAATGCTCCTGTCCCGACTCTTTCAGGCTGCTCATATTCAACATTTCCAAGATGACTATTCTGTTATCTTCTGGGAAACCTTAACTGTGTAGCCTTGCTGACACCTGTCTCCTAGAGGCCCCTGTCTTCATCTGTACAATAGTTTGGCTTCATCACAGTTTATGAACCGGCCAAAGTACTGTTTCCTCTGGTCCACAGTGGATTTTTGTTTTTGTAACTGAATGTTGCTAACATCTTATAGTAGGGAGAGTTCACATAAAAATGCAGATGTCACCTGCCTGATCCCTCTAAACATTTGAATTGCTTTCCCTGGCTAGGAGGTCTGAAAGGTGGGGGGAGGAGTCTCTAGATCTGGACTCCTACAGGATTCTAGATAGGATATTTGGGACATACTTAAACTGGAGGGATGGCGGGATGGCGGGGGTAGGGGAGATCCCTTATTTACTTGAAATTCAAACTCAAATTTAATGTCTTGTATTTGATCCAAAAACCTTAGCGGAGGGATCAGACTGGAGAGGGAGAGCCTCTCACTCCCCCAGGGTAGGACCCAGAGGCAGTTTGTCCCCTATTGTTAATTCTTTTGATATTATTGACTGAGCAGTTTTAAATTATTCCTTTGCTTTTTTTTTTTTCTTCCGTGCCTAACAAAGGTCATTTGACAGTGAGAGGCACATTTAAAGACAATGAGGG